CCACATCCATGGTTGTTCCCCATACATCAATAGTCCCACCCAACCATCTTAGACCCTCTCCTCAAACACCAGGTAAATTTTCCCTTACCCTTCATGGACATCTCATGTTTACAACACTTCTTACTTTAATGTTTTAGTTCTATTATTTCTTGATGAAATTTCTGGATATTTCTATTTTATGTTACAACTGAGAGTAAAAAAGGTGTGACGTTGGGCACAACATTTATGGCTATTTTGTTGTCGTGTAGTTAATTATATTTATGATCGTCTACGCCGTTATTTCAATTGATGAATATCCAACTAGTTATGATACTTGTTATTATTGTTTTAATATTTGTTTCATTTTACTGGACAATCTGGTTTTTTATTCAAATAAATTCAAATATTCCACGATATCAGTTAGTCTCCCTTATGTGAACCGATCCCATCACCATACATTACCCACAAAGGTAAGTAAGTTTTAATGCAAGTTTATTAGGATTTATCTCCCTACAAAGGAGAGATTGTCAAAAACTTCTGTGTCCACATGGAGAGGGAAGAAGGAGGTTAAAAAAAACTCTTCTTTTGTCCGAATCATACACGAGAAGAAGATTTCCTTATAAACTTTTTTTATTTTTATTTCGTGTAGGAATAAATCCAAATCAATTTAACCCTAATTCTCTAAGAACATAGGTTTTAGAAGAGCCGGTTTATTGTAGTAATAGGAAAGACTTGGAATTAAATCTCACCTCCACAAAAGTACAAGGGTTGTTCACCAGATAACAATTATTTTTCTTTGAAACAGGCAAGATTCCAAATATAGATGTTAAAAATTCAAGCAAAAATCTAATGTCTTTTTCTGTTGGAGAATAATCATGCATCATTTCTACTTGAATTTTATTAGAAATCAAAAACAGATAGACAAATTACTCCAGGTAAGAAAATGGAAGCCTGCTATAGCAGCAGGGAAGAGGAATGTATTCCATTCAACTTGGGAAATTACAATGCACACTAATTTATTTATAGANAGAAATAAAGCTGGAAAACAGCTATTGCAGGAAGAAAATGGTAAACCTGCTGTTACAGCAGAGAAGAGGAATGTATTCCATTCAACTTAGAAAATTACAATGCACACTAATTTATTTATAGAGAAAAATCTAACAAACTATCTAACAAACTAACGAAATTACAGCTGGAAGGAGGAACTAGAAGGATCTGGAATTGGCACCATATTCAGCTGAGGTGAACTGATGGACGTGAGCTGAAGAGATGGAGAAGATCTGATGATGAGCTGGAATATTTTGTAGTTGCATGTGCTGGATATTTTAACACACCCCTTCAAGATGGACAATGGAGACCAACAATAGTCCATCTTGAAAACTAAAGTCTGGAAGCTTCTGCCCAAGATGTTGAATTTGCCATGATACTGACATTGTAGCCCATTTCTCTGAAATATTTAGCAATAGTGTTTCCTGTATAAATTGCAGGTTCCAAAGACGTTTTCCCAATTAATTAACAAGTCGTTCTCCAAGCTGAGATTTTTTTTTTTTTTTTAGTAAGAGCATATTAGTCTCTGTAGTTCAAATCAGATTGGTGTAGACTGTGATTTAGTGCATCAAGCTCTTTGTTGAGTTCTCACATATGTTGCATCCGTTCCCAACTCAGACTTAACAACATCCAGGTTGTCAATGTTGGGAATTTACTTAATCATGCACAGCAGAAATAAAATAATTTTTCAATTCGCAACAAGGATCTGCAATGTGTTTAGATAGAAATTGTGATTAGAATTATACTTTTGATTAATTTTGCAAAACCCTTTGCTGATTCACGAACTCCAATGATCACGATCTGTAATCCAAGCTGTCCAATTGTCCAGCCTCCAATGGTGATCCACACAGAGAACAAGAATGGTGGCTAGGGTTTCTTTTCTTGTGCTAGTAAGAATAATAAAAATCTCTTTTTTCAAACCCTAGTATCATACTAGTATAAGCCCAAGTGGGCTTGGCCCCTATTGAAACTAAACACGGTCCGACACTTTATTAATCAAATTAATTAAACTCGGTCCATGAATTAATTAATCTAATTAATTAACTTGGGCATATTAATAAACAATCCAATTAATTAATTACCTAACATTTGTTAATTAATTAATTGGCAAATCTCATTCTTCTAGTTCTCTTTTGTGTGTGACCCATTAGATTCCCGATCACGATATCTAACGTCGTGAATTATTATTTTGATCTAATCAAAATATCAATAAATTAAAACACCCTTTTAATTTATNAAATGTATTATTCTAAACACAGCTTCTCTCTAAACACAAAGCAGATCCGTGGTAGGAATAGAAAAAATTATTAATTTTTCGCTGTGCATGCCAACAGTGAAACTACTATTTTAAAGATAATATGAGTTGGTTTATTTGGTTGACATGAGTGAATTATCTATAAGTCTAAGAACTTCAATTCATATTACTAAAATTGTAGACATAAATAATTTAAAATTATTCCCGTTCAAAAATATTAAATTGAGTCGGAAAACAAAAATAAATAATTTGATTATCGTCTATATAGATATTGACATATTGTGTTGAAATTTCTAAATTCTAGATTTAGTTCCTACCAAATTTTGATGAAATCACCCTTTATATTTCTTAATTTACTCATCTCTAGTCTTACTGATTTTAACTGAGCCTTTAAAGTGTCAAGTTTTAATAAGTAGCAAAAACATTAGTGTCATGTCATGCAGTTATTTTAATCCATGATTGTTTACTACCTTGTTATAAACTATGGTTGTCTCCAGTTATGTGAGCAATGTTATTGGAACTTTGGACTAAATCTGTACTATAAGTGAATTTTCAACCTCTGCCGTTTAGCACATAGGCCATAAAACTTTCAAGTTTAAATCAATTTCCCCTCAGTGGTTTTCAAGCTGTTGACATTGCAAAGAAAATCTTATGTGAAAAAGTACAACACCAAGGGAATGGAGTGAGAATGAAAGGAAAAGAGAGAAGAGAAGTAAAAATATCAACTTCATCCCTTCCAGATGCTCCCACAT